AATGCCTAGATGCTAATCTTCTTTCAACTGTTCTGGTTTGTGTTTTTACAGCTAGAGGGACTTAGGGGATGAATATTTTTTAATCCATGAGACTGAGAATTCCTTGTGGCCAGTAGTGAATTCAAAGGCAGGTATCCAGATGAATGAATCCACATTAAAGAACTGCCTGGTTTATATCATTTGAGAAATCAGACTAATACCTAAGTTTTGTTCAGAGTGAAAAATATTAATGATTTAAATATATACACCTTTAAGATGTTACTATCACTGATTACTCAGATGGTAAAGAATCTGCCTGTAACGCAGGAGACCTGGGGTTCGATCCCTGGGTCAGGAAGATCCTCTGGAGAAGGAAATGGAAACCCACTCCAATATTCTTGCCTGGAGAATCCCATGGAGAGAGGAGTCTGGTGGTCCACAATCCATGGGGTCGCAAAGAGTCAGACATGACTGAGCAACTAACACATCACACAGGCACAGCAAATATGATACTTTAATAACAGAGATCTGGATTCCCTACTTACTGGAGTTTTTTTTTTTTCCCATCTTTGTTTTTGTGTTCTCTATTTTATATTTTTTTTCCTGAATTGCTTGAAAGTGTTTAATATATAGCCCCCATTCAGATTTCTCCAATGATTAAAAAATGTCTTTTATCATAGTTTTGTAGATTTGGAGGATTCAATAAGGATGGTAAATAGAAACTGGTTGTTAGATCTCTTTTTGTCTTTTTTGAATTATCTTGTCTCCCTCCCTTTTTTGTTTTTTCTTGTTTTGTATTTCATGACAGTAACATGTTGGAAAAGTCTAAAACATTTATCTCAAAGTATGTCTTTCAATCCGGGTTCATCTGACTTTTGGTTTCCTAATGACCAGATTCAGATTCAAGAGTGCTAGGAAGAGTATACTGCTTCTCTTTAGAAAGTATGTGATAGTGGTTAGGCTAGATTTAATCCCTCAATTAAGTTGGTGTTCACTGGACCTCTCATTATACAGGTACCTAATCCCCTTAATAAGTTATCTGTGGGTTAATTCTTCAGGACCATGTGCATATCTTGTTCCCGCATACTCAGTCATTCATCCAGTGTTTTTCACATTCATCTTGGATCGTTATGCGAATCAATGACCAGGTTGGTGGTTGCAATATGGTACTGACTGAATTTTTGAAAGTTACTTTACTAAAGAAAATTTCTCCTTTTTACCCCCATCTCTGTTTGGAAAAATCTAGACCCCAAAGACAGGCGGCTGAGGAGCCGACAAAAGTGACACTCAGAAACAACTATGCAAACACGTATTATTATTTTCAGTGTCAGAAGTGTTTTATTTTGTGAGTGGATGTATAGGAAGAAAGTTCTAGGAAAGAGAGAGGGAGAGAGGTGTGTCTTTTAGTTTGGGGGATTTGCCCTTAAAGTAATAAATCTTTGTTGGTGCAGATGAAGAACAACAAAACAAATCACCTTTCTGATTTCCTTCTAGACTGAGAGCATTCAATTAATAATGAGATGAATTTTCATTCAACAGCCACAATCTGAAAAGATATTTCATGTCTGCCCTCCTGTCTGAAAATGTTCTTTATAAATAGTTCTTTAAAGGCATGTTGCTGCTGCTGCTGCTGCTAAGTCACTTCAGTGGTGTCTGACTCTGTGCGACCCCATAGACGGCAGCCCACCAGGCTCCCCCGTCCCTGGGATTCTCTAGGCAAGAACACTGGAGTGGGTTGCCATTTCCTTCTCCAATGCATGAAAGTGAAACGTGAAAGTGAAGTCGCTCAGTTGTGTCCGACTCTTAGTGACCCCATGGACTGCAGCCGACCAGTCTCCTCCATCCATGGGATTTTCTAGGCAAGAGTACTGGAGTGGGGTGCCATTGCCTTCTCCGGTAAAGGCATGTTAGTTGAAATCAAATGGGCATCTCAACCATGAAATTCCTGTGAAAGGTAGATAGTAAACAGAAATTGTTTAGGAGGGGAGATCCCTTGATCTAGGCTTGGAATTCTTTCAAGAATTATCCTAAAGCTTTTATACCTACCCTGCTCGTGAGCAGCTCACTCAGTGACTTGGTGTTATCTGATGAGGATCTCATTTCACTTTTGAAAGCAAAGTGTTGTTCTCTTTGTTGAGGTAGTAAGAGGAGGCAGGAAAAGATTGACTCTGGACATTGCAATTGAAAACCCGCCCATCCATCTTGAGATTAATGAGTACCCTGAATGCAGTATCAGTTCTCTTGCTTGCAGTTCATGATGAAAAGACCTATTTTTGAAGCTCGTTAACTATCCCTCCTGCCTAGACAAAACTATTCTTGAATACTGGGGTCATTACCAGAACTCTATGAATTCATTTATAATTTGCTTTGTTTTTCTTTTCATTGTTTTGTAAGAGGATTTTGGACATTATTTTTGTGATCAGGTAGACCTTGGACCCCTTGCTTCTTTTGAGCATTTTCATGTTATGTTCTTGAAGTTTGGAAAAGTGATTTGCCTCTATTTTGCTGGTATGGTATGATCACATACTTTTTTCTCTTGTTGAGATCTTGCTGAGTGAGAAATTGGTGTGGCATGAGGTGGTCTGTGAAATTTACATTAACTTATCCTAATTCTATGTTTGGAGACAGCTGAATATTCCTTACATTTGTTTGATAATTTCTCACCTTGCATTGTATTACTGTGTTGTTACAGAGTCTAGAATATGAATAAGGCAAAACCTTGCTAGTTTCAATCATCTGAATTTTATCACAAGACTGAGCAGTTCACTTGAAGAAAATAGCACATTGCCTGGCAAGCACAGCCATTCTCCTAGAGTCTTGAGGTTTCTGCAGAGCTGGAGTCTCTCCATGACCATGCCAAATTTGCTGTCAGTTCTCTGGCCTTGTGGTAGTCTCCTCCAGCCCAGTCCCTTGGATACAACACAGAGCAGAGAACCTGGTCCTAGTTTGGCATGCAACTGAGAGCTTTGTAGCATATTTGACACTATAATAAATGAGGAGGTACTGAAATATTTCCTGTTTTTAAACACTTTGAATCACTTTCTAAGATGTAGCAGAACAGTCTCAAAGAGTATTTGGAATTACAATTTTTTATAAAGAATATTTATTATAAAGTCTTGTAAAGTACACTGAGTCATAGAGGTGGGTTCATACTTGTCAAACAGGTTTTCAAACACTGAAAAATACACACTAATATGTTGGAAATCTTACGAATGAACAGGGCTTCTTATTAATGTGGGCAATCTTATAGTAGTTCACTTGGGGTGAGTTTTTCTTAGAGGTTGACTTATTTAATAAAGAATTGAGCAGACAATAAGACTGGTTACAAGTTCCACGAGGGTAGGAGTTGTCATCTTTCTTTTAGGTGTATTCTAGTGTCTCATCTAAAGCAACAATAAGGCTCTGTGTATATTTGTTGAATTAAATTTTCAAATTAATAATAGTTGCTAAATTCTTCTGGCCTTAGTTTTTCAGTCTGTAGGTCACCACCTCCCCTGACCTTCTGCAGATTGCCATTTTCTCTTCTTCCTATCTCCCCCAACCCTCTTTTCCTGCTCTTAAACCTGCTGACCAGTAACTTTTTTGACTTAAGGAATAACAAGTCTAAGCTATTGTATTTCATTTTTTAAAAAAATTATGTAGGAGAAAAAAGAGAAATAGAATATATTCAGATCTTAAAATGATTATATAGAGATAGAGCACTCTATAGCAGACTCTGTTAAGATCTTGCAGTAAAAACCTCTTGTCTTCAAGAGGTCAGAGTCTGTAGGTAAAACAGTCATATCCAGAGAGCTGAAACATAGCAGTCGTGGTGTGAAGGTGGGGGCTGGGGGACAGCTTAAGTAATCACTTTTGGCCTCTTAGCAACCCTGGAGCGGTGTCTTTAAGGATGAGTGCCTCAGGCCATGGGGGACTTGAGAAAACATTGTGGGAATTCTCCAGAAAAGTGGAGAAGGTAATTTCTGTGTTTGTGTGTTGGCTCTTGTGAGAGAAGGAAGACTGTTGTGGGGAATTTGGAGAATATAGATGAAAAGATCTGGGAAAAGAAAAGGGCAGAATTGCCAGTGCCCGTGGATGTGGTGGACGCGCCATGGCTTGGGAAGGAGGGGCAAAGTCTGCTCCTGGAAGGAAGGGAATGAAATTCATGGGGTAATGAACTCAAAGTCTTGGTGAAGCCAGGGAGCAGCTGAAGGTGAGCGAGGGCATTCAGGTGAGCTGGTTGAATGGGAAATTTTCTCAGAGGTAGATAAAGTGAGGAGTCGGCTGTGCAGAGACTCAGGGTGTAACCATGGGCGTAGATTGCTAAAAACGCGCTATTCTTTGATTTCTTCATTCCCATAGTAATCTTTTTCCTGGGACAACATTCTTGCCAGTGTCTGTCATGTATAACCTGCCAGGATTGAACACTTTAAACTCCATGCCAATTTGTAAAATCCTCCATTTTAGACTAACCGTATTTGTGACTCAAAGAACCTCATATATGCAACCTTTTAAAATCAACCTACCCGTGTTGAATTGGTTATTTAGTATTCAATATGGACCACGTGCATACTCTTACTTGCCATGACCCTTTATAGTCATGTGTTTACATGACTTTTCTCTTAAATAATAAGTCAGCTGGAGGGCTTCCCTGGTAGCCTAGTGGTTAAGAATCCACCTTGCAATACAAGGGACATTGGTTCGATCCCTGGCCTGGGAAGATCCCACATGCTGCTGGGCAGCTAAGCCTGTGTGCCGCAGCTATTGAGACTGTGGCCTTAGAGTCCAAGAATCACAATTACTGAGCCTGCACGCAGCAGTTCCTGAAGCCTGTGTGCCCTGGAGCCATGCTCTGAGACAAGAGGAGCCACCGCAGTGAGAGACCCCAGTCCCCACAGCTGTAGAAAGCCCTTGGAAAGCAATGAAGACCCAGGGCAGCCAAAAATAAATAAATAAATAAGTAAATTCTTTAAAAGAATATATATTTTGTTTATTGGGAAAAACAACTTGTGGGGCTTGTAGAATAGGGACTATCAAAAAGTTTAAAAATCTGGTGGTATGGGGTGTCCTAATTCGAAGGATTCTTGAGGTTGGATTCTCTTGCTTCTGTGAGAGAATCTTTTCTTTTGTGCCAGTTCACGGGGACGCTCAGTGGCCTTCTTGGGATCCTCTCTCCCCAAAAGTGAGGGGAGGACTTGGTGCCTTAGCCAGCGGAAGATGCACCGGAAATTCAGACATGAGAGGGCTTCTGTGCTGGAGTGAGTGTCCTCCTTCTCTGGTAGACCTGATAAGACTGAGGAGATCTCTGTAATATCTGTCCCTTGGCTGCCAGTTGCCTCGATTATTGTCTGCCAAGAAGACGAGTGTTAGATATTGTGCAACCTGGGCGACAGTGGGGCCAGTGTTGTCCATTTAGGGAGCTCAGATCCTTTAACTGGCTTACCTGGTGGCTCAGAGGGTAAAGAATCTGCCTGCAGTGCAGGAGACCTGGGTTTGATCCCTGGGTCAGGAAGATCCCCTGGAGAAGGGAATGGCTACCCACTACTCCAGTATTCTTACCTGAAGAATCCCATGGACAGAGGAGCCTGGCAGGCTACAGTCCATGGGGGTCACAAAGAGTCAGACATGACTGAATGACTAATACACAACCCAGCATATGCTGAGTTTCAGTACTCATTAATATTTACATACACACACACTCGTATTTTGGTCATAATTGTTGGTTTACATTCCTACCCTTTTCTCTCTCTCAGGGCTCCTTGGTATTTTGCCTTCACCTCTGTGCTGTCCCTTCTATAGTGGGGAGTAATGCTCCATGTGTTCCCACCTGGACCCTCCACCAGGCCTGTCCTGTGCTTGCCTGTGAGGCACCTCTCTGCTCACCTTAGCAAGCTCCTGGTTCTGACGCCTTGGATGAATCTGTGGAAACTGGATGACACCTTCATGTTCTAGTGGGTTGAACTTGGCCAAATCTTGACAGCTACCATGTTCTTGATGACTAACCTGAGCCATACCTGGAAGGGAGCTGCTAGGCAGCTGGGAGTCTTCCTCCTTAGCAGATTCAGGGAACACAGAGTCATCATCTTTGTCATCTTTCTGGTTCTCTAGAAATTTCTCAAGCTTTTGCACAAGACCGTCCAGTTTGCTAAGAGTCATCTGTGTCTTCTCTTTGGGGTGCTTGTCTCTGTTGCCTCCACTTAGGTCACAGTTAGCAGCCAAGTCTGAATTGTTAGAGGCCACGTCAACATCCCAGGCCAGGGTGATGCTGAGTTTGCAGAACTGTTCTGGGCCGTCCTGTGTCTGGTCTTGTCTCGCTAGGAGCCTCCCTGTGTTTTCAGTCCACCATGACCCTTGGATAGGAGGGACAAAGTGGACTGAAGGACCTTCAGCAGATGAGTCTTCACAGGAGAGGGTGTTCTCACAGGAGGAGATGTCCTCACAGGGGAAATAGCCCACAGAGAGACTCAGGTTTGATTCAGAGCTGCTGGAGAATGAGTGCACCATGGAGTTCGAAGGTTCAAATCTCAGGTCTCCCTCATCCCAGGGATCTTCAAAAGAGAAAATCTAAGTGGGACTGGGGAGAAGAGGAGGGTAATATGGTACTTACCCAATAACATTATCCATTCTTTTTTCTATTTGGAACTATCCCACTCTGAGAGAAGTTCATCTGTTTTACAATCTCCAATGAAGAACAAAGGAGGCAGCCCTCTCCCTTTAAGAACCTGCTCTATACAACCCTCTCCACTAAGCATCTTCACTGGATGCCTCGTATCATCTATTACTACAGTTGAAAAAACTTGTATCATAAAAGAAAAATTATCATGGTGTAAAATTTGAAAACTATAAAAAAGTATGAAGATGAAAATAAATATGCTTGTGATTCCCCTGTCCAGAGATAATGATAATCATCATGAAAACATTTTGGTGGATTTCCTTATAATCTTTTCTTTTTATTTATATGTACTTATGTGTATACAATAATATATATATGTGTACATATATATATATATGTACAGTCATGTATATATGTAGATATGAAAGTCACATCAGTTGAAACTGAGATTATTATATTTTATGGCACAACCTGAAAGTAAAAGTGAAAGTTGCTCAGTCCTGTTCGATTCTTTGTGACCCTGAGGACTATACAGTCCATGGAATTTTCCAGGCCAGAATACTGGAGTGGGTAGCCTTTCCCCTTTCCAGGGAATCTTCCCAACCCAGGGATTGAACCAAGGTCTCCCGCACTGCAGGCAGATTGGACTGCAAGGAGATCAAACCAGTCTATCCTAAAGGAAATCAGTCCTGAATATTCATTGGAAGGACTGATGCTGAAGCTGAAGCTCCAATACTTTGGCCACCTGATGCAAAGAACTGACTCATTGGAAAAGACTCTGATGCTGGGGAAAACTGAAGGCAGTAGGAGAAGGGGACGACAGAGGATGGGATGATTGGATGGCATCACCGACTCGATAGACATGAGTTTGAGCAATCTCTGGGAGTTGGTAATGGACAGGGAGGCCTGGCATGCTGCAGTCCATGGGATCGCCAAGAGTCGGACACGACTGGGCAACTGAACTGACTGAACTGATGGCACAGCCTGCATTAAACGTGTATATGGCCCTTCTGTCATTGTAAACCGCTTTCTTATTAATAACTTAGGGAGTTATTGTCTTTAATAGATACGTCTGCAGTAAAACCCCTTGTTAATAAGTCTCTGTGTCTCCCTTTATGTTTTTATAGGTGGGTTTAATCGATCAAAGACCACAAATGTATTAAAGGCTCCTAATAGTTGATACTAAGTTGCTTCCCAGAAGCAACTTAGATGCATATCCTTCCACCATCTGATAGCACATTTTCTGTCCCATAGAAACCGGGGGAGAGGGTAGGAATCCACATGCACACGTGCATGCACCTGTTGTAGTCTCTGTAAGGTTCTGCCCTGGTGGCTGCCCACGTGAAAGGGGTGCTGCCAACTCCTGAGCCATAGACTGGGGACATGAGAAGTTCTTCAGGTCCTGAGTCTCAGTAGCTAGAAGTCCAGCTGCCGGAAGTCTGTGTTCTGGGACTGTTGGTTACCATGGTAACACAAGGACCCAAGTTAGAGCCAGAAGTGTGGGCAGAGAGAAGAAAGGGATCGAAAGCTACAGGAGCCAGTGCCTTGCTCCCAAAATATCCCATCCCCTCATCAACTCAGCTAACAAGACTCCGTCTCGATGGCGGAAGGACAAACCCCATGACACTTCCTTTCCTCTTGTCATGTCGGTGTCCAGGATGGAGGGAGGGAATTTAGAACCTATTTGGTGAAATGGACATAAACAGCCTTTTATAGGACTGAATGGTAACTGCAGCAACAGAACTTAAAAATAATGTCATGGGAGAACGGAAGGAGGTATCTTGTGCAGCCAGGGTGGAGATCCAGGAGAGGGCATCAGGAGAAGCCTCCTAGAGGAGAGTCCCTCTGGTCTCAGTATTTAGTGGGGTGTGGAAGTTAGCTGAAAAGGAGGGAGTGATTGGGGGAGAGGACCTTACAAGCAGATGGGACACGTGAGCAAGGACTACCAGGTGAGAAACAGCCAGGTGTGGGGTGGAGATCAATCATGAAGTGGTAAACAGGGTCACTAAGATCATGGAAAGCCTTTCACCCCTGTTAGGGAAGATGGGTTTTATCCTATGAGCACATACTCAGGTAGTGGTTTCATTTATTAGGTGTTCTTCCAGTTAACTCAAAGTATATTGAAGGCTCAACATGATGAAAACAAGCAAACACAACAAAACTTCAGTGCACTTGGCAGCGTGAATGTTACTGGTTGGCTTCCACGAGAATAGAGTCAGCAGGTTTGCCCTGGGTTGAGAAATGGATGGGAGGAGACGAGGTGGTACCAGTGGGCCTGGACTCTACTTCATCCGTGTCTGAGTGAGAAGGTGAGGGAGGAGGCAGAGGCAGCTTAGTGTCTGCACCCCCTCCCCACATCCAGAAGAGGGGCCCAGTCAGTACTGGGGGACAGCTTCAAAACTTAAAAGGTTGGCTGCTGCTTTCGGAGAGTAAGGGTGGGATACGTGGCATGGGCAGGGGGCTTGATTGTAATAATACTTGGTTATTTCCCGGTGTTAGAAGAAAAAAAGTGAGGATGGATGTGGACAGGTATAGAGGAATGCATTGTTGAGGACCTCTATATTCTTCTTTGAGCTTCCCAGCTGGGCGTCAGCCTTATTCCTGAGGTTGTCTGTATTATTTTACACCAGTTCTGTTACCTGGATCTCTGTCCTTGTTGTCCTTGTCCTCTATATTATCTCCTTTGACAGTCTCTTCAGTAACATGAGGGAGGGGTCTTGGTTTCTTCTAGACTTGGAGCTTTGCTTTTCCTTGTCATCCTCCTCTGCTGAGACCCCTGCTGACCTCACTGGGTCCTCGCACTTCCTGGTCTGCCCTCCCCTTCCCAATGGCATCATGGAATTATGAGGGGATTGGTGAGGTCTCTGGGGGCACTTTATGGGTGGAGGCAGTAAGTCTTTCATTGTCTGCTTCCCAAATGTGCAAATTCTGAGGACAGCTGTGGGTCATATAGGATTGAAGGCAGTCAGTCGGTTGCAGAGGCTAAACAAAAATTAAACTTTCCAACAGTAGAATCATCTTAACAAATGTAGTTACAGCGACTGCCAGCCCGGTCTAAACTGTGGGGCTGTGGGGTACTGTTTCTGGGTCAATCAGTGACTCTCAGGAAGGGAGTAGGTCTTCCACTCAGAGTTTCCAAGGAATGGAGTGCGTACGTAGTTGGAAAAAGTACATGTTATGTTTAAAAAAAAAATTTTTTTTCACTTAAGTATAGTTGATTTACAATGTTGAAAAGGCATGTTCCTAAATTAATATTGCTTAGAACTTTTTTGGGTCACTTTTTAAAAAATTTTCAAGTTACAAACAGCATTAAAAGAAACCATACGGTTTTTATATTTATCCAAACAAAAAGCATAGGTTTCCACACACACACACACACACACACACACACACACACACACGAAAAGGAGAAAAGCCAAGGAACACTGATCTGACTTAAAGAACTCGAGCTCATTGGAATCGATTAGTTGCTAAAAGATCTTTTTCAAACATTTTTCTGTCTTTATTTCCATTTAACAAGATTATATTTAACGTTTGCTACATTTGCTCAGTATCAGTACAATGCTTTTGCTGTTGTACTGGTTAAATTTCTCACGCTCTTGCTTAGTCACTCAGTCCTGTCCGACTCTGCAGCCCATAGGCTGTAGCCCACTGGGGGGCTCTGTCCATGGGATTCTCCAGGCAAAGTTGCTAGAGTGGGTAGCCATGCCCTCCTCCAGGGGATCTTTCCAACCCAGGGATTGAACTCAGGTCTCCTGCATTGCCAGGTGGATTCTTTATCACTGAGCCACCTGCTCAGTCCCACTGGTTAAATTTCTAGGTTTTGTTAAGTTAGATTGTTTTCGTTCAGTCTGTTTCAGGAGTTATGATGTCCTGGTGTGAGAAATAGGCAGAATTGGAATTGGGGAGATGCCATCTGTACTCTACAGAGGTCACATGGCAGGTGACCACAGATGCCATACATTCCATGAGTGTTTGGGGTCCTAGGTTAATTCTGGGGAGCTCAGGTCAGGAGCAGCCTTCTCTGTAGCATTTATTGGCTGCTTATTGCATGCCAGGCCCTGTTCTAAGCACTTTGTATGTGCTTATTGTTTAATCTTCACAGCTCCCCAATCAGTTAAGCATCGTTAGTTGCCCTGTTTTATAGACAAAGAACCCTGGAGAAGGTAATGGCAACCCACTCCAGTGTTCTTGCCAGGGAAATCCCATGGACTGAGGAGCCTGGTGGTCTACAGTTCATGGGGTCCCAAGAGTCAGACATGACTTAGCAACCCACAGACAAACCACCACCACCCACAGACAAAGGAACCAAGGCCTGAGCAGTTATGTACCCTTCCCACATCTCCAAACCATAAACCCTAGAACCTGGGCTCAGACATAAGCAGTCTGGCTCCAGAGCTCGTACCCTTACCCTCTACACACTCCTGTCTCTCGGGAGGCTGACCACCTGCCTCCTTCCTGAAAAATTCCTGGGACTTAGGCCAAAATTAAACCTGTGTTCTGGTGCCTTGGAAGAAACTCCTTTGAGTGGAACTGTGTATTCTAAGTATGTAGTCCACAGGACTGGCCCCAAGCAATGGCATCCACATTTGGAGCAGACTAAAATGAGATTTAAAATAAATATTCAGCTTCCTCTTTGGCATGATGAGATCTGGATTCCTCTGCTCTGGCTTTTCATAAAAACTCTATGACTGCCTCCCAGGGCACTGGGAGCCTAGAAAAGGATTCATGAGCAGCTTTCTTTCCATGCAGCTGGAGTGAAGGTCTGGGAGAAGCAGTGTGCTATACCGTTACCCATGCAAATGGAATGCTTTGAACTAAACATAAAAATTTAAGTGGGAAAAAATTATTTCTCAGCCTAAACTACTATAGAATCATCTTGAAGAGAAAA